ACACACAGAGAAATCTCAGAATCTCTCACAAAATGACGAACTACGGTGCGATTCCGACGTCGTCTCATCCATCTCCGGTAGTAGATCTCGAATACATCTCACGAGCGAAACACCGTATCAAATCAGGTCTCTCAACTCGTCGTCCATGGAAATCAATGTTCGATCTCGAATCCATGTCTCTCCCTGACGGATTCTTCGATTCGATCTCGAGAATCAAAACGAATCTCGCTTATTTCAGAGCTAATTACGCAATCGTCTTCCTCTTTATCCTCTTCGTATCACTTCTCTATCACCCAACATCGTTGCTCGTGTTAGCGATCTTAATCGTTTTCTGGATTTTTCTTTATTTTCTTCGTGATGAATCTCTTAAGGTTTACGGTTATCAGATCGATGATCGGACGGTTCTGATTGGTTTATCGGTTTTAACGGTGGTTTTGCTTTTGTTGACTCACGCCACGTGGAATATAATCGGATCTTTGGGAATCGCCACCGTGTTGGTTCTGATTCATGCGGCGGTTAGGAGGAGTGATCATTTGTTTCTCGATGAAGAAGCTGCGGCGACTGAAACTTCAGGGCTGACGTCATACCCTTCGTCATAAAGAAACCAAATATGTTTTTTTTTGTTTTTGTAATGTTTTTTACTCATTTTGTTGTGTGATTGACAAGTTTGAAAAAATGTTTTGTGTTTTCTACTTTGTTCGATTTGTTTGTTCAACTTACGAAAACATTTTTTTTTTCTTTCTATCTCAATTATCTGAATCTTGAATCTTCTATGTTCAGATTGTTTTCAGAAATTATGCAATTTATCATTCGAGTTTTTTTTTTCTTCTTTAAATGTATGCAACTTAACACTTGAGAATATTTATTTAGTTACACAATTTATTACAACTATACATAGTGAAAAGAAAATTACAAACTTGGAGTGCTAAACTTCCGTACATTGTATTATGAAGACAAATCAGAACTTCTATTACACCGAAGACAACAACCAACAAGGAAAATATCAGATTTATTATTCTGTTAAGTGTTAATTTCACTTATTCGTTTATATGTTGTCGTGCTTAAATTTGGATAATGTATTGGTTGTATTTGTATCTGTATGAACTTTGTAATCCTTGTTTCAAGTTAATAAAGCAAGATGCTCAAACAAAAAAAACATCTCTCACGAAAAGTAAAAATTAAATATTTTTTTAAGAAATAAATATTTGGTGTAAACAAATTTATTTAAAAAATTCAGTGAAAAATAAATAATTATAAAACTTGAGTACTAAATTCACATTGTATTGTGTTGACGAGACGAATTTGGGACCGCTAACGGACAAAGACAATGGTCAATGACGGGATTCCACGTTCGAATATCTTCACAATTTTGTAATTTCAACACTCGCATTTTTTTTATTAAAAATCTAAAGTTTTTGGTGAAAAAAAAATTGTAGTTAAATAAACTTTAAAACTAAAAAAAAAATCAGAACATTGAGTACTAAATTTACGGTACAATGTGTCAACTTAACAAATTTGGCACCGCTAACGGACAAAGACAATGATCAATGACAGGATTCCACGTTCGAGTAGTCTTTCACAAAATAATATAAATCTAACACTCAAATTTCTTGGATCAAAATCCGAAAAACCAAAAATCTTTTTTGTAATCAGTTTTTAAAATTTTGAAAACACCTTTAAAAACGAAAAATACGAAGCATGAAAATATAAAAAAAAATGAATTTAGGGAGAGGCTTTATAGTTATGATATATATAGAAGCTGTACCAAATCTTCAATGTAAAATTGTCCATGACTGTGATTAGACTTTGTTGATGAAGCTTTAATTTAATTCTTCGTGAACTGGACTTTCATTGTACAGTAGTAACTTTGAGCCGCTACACATTCAGAAAACAAAAATACAGATAAATCAAATCTAGTCATATATATGCTTCTTAATTAATGAATACTACAATAAATCATACTTTATAATATTTATTCAAACTTACATCGACCTTGTATTCTCTTTGTTGTGTTTTCGTTACTGCATCTAAGGCTTCCAGATTTGTCGACTTAAGGATTTATCCACCGAAGACTTCTAATAATCCCTGTAATCGAACCAACCATAATTGAATTATTCATCTAAAGAAAACTACAAAAACAGAATCACAACGATTAAGAAAGATTAGTTGTTTGGATTACTTACTTGATCGGATTATGGAAAAAGAAAGATGAGAGAACCAAAGAGACATTATTAAGCAAAACATATAATTTGTAGATTTTTGTTTTTGTTTTTGTTGGCCGACCAAACCACTTAATGTATGGGTTAGGGATATTTATAGTAGAAATATGTAGCCGTTTGAAAAGTAATAATTACCGTTTGAATAATACGATTAACGGCTAGTTTTGTATCAGAAATTGATCTTTTGACAAAGAACTCTTGCAATTTGCATTCAACAAGTGTCAAGAATTCAAGTAATAATAATACAACGTCGGTTTTTAACTCTCTCTCACGTTAGGCCCAACAAAGTCATTAATTGGCCTAAAAGTATCTTTCTAGTTGGCTTTAATACACATTCTATTGATATTTTTGTTTGGTAGATTTTGCTCTAAGAACCAGCACAATGTAATACTTCATTCATATATGGGATTATGGGTGGATTTTGTTAGGGGTAGGCAT